AATCAGTTTTCAATTCAAATTTCCTTAACAATTTCAGAAAAACAATTTCTTTTAAAAATTCATTTCTCGGACTCGGGACCTCGGATTTCGATTCCCGGGCATACGCCCGAGTCCCATATTTTTCTACGGACCCTCGGGGACCGTCAAATCACGGGTCCGGGTCCGTTTACCCAAAGTATTGACCAAAGTCAAACTTATTCATTTTAATACCAAATTTTAGCATTTTTCACAGAATTTCACATTTAGGCTTTCCGGCTACACACCCGGACTGCGCACACAAATCGAGGCGGCTAAAAATGAGGTTTTCAAGGCCTCAGAAGCACGGAATAAATAGGAAAACAGGTGATGACCCTTTGGGTCGTCACAATAATAAGCAATAAGTGATGAACAATAAATAGAACGCAATAAATATAAGCAATAAATGAAGTAACGAGATCAAGAGAATGTGTTATAGAGGAGAGAGAATGTTCTTGTGTATTTAGTATGGAGCAACAGATGTTTACAAAATGACAAGGATCCCCTTTATATATGGGAGAAATCCCAACATAGTACAAACGCATTAATTACAAAGATATAGGATTGGTACAGCCATTTAATGCCTTGATTCACCTTTTGGGCTAGTCCACTAGACTTGACCTTCCATGTGCACATGCCTTGGGAACTCCACCTTGATCCGCCGAGACCGGTAATTCACATTGTCTCGGGGCCGGTCATTACTTATACCATCTCGAAGTCGAACTGTCTCGAAATCGGCCATCGAGAATTCTCGGAGTCGGTCACTGGAAGTCCTCGAAATGCCCTGATGCTCGTGAAATCGAGCCCTGTTTCTACCGTATACATGGTCTTTTTGAAGTATTTTACTCCAAAATTTCGTAAAAAAGATTCTGTTTAGGCACGGGAATCCTTCTGTCGTATAATTGACTTTCACATCCCATTTCATTATCCAAGGGATAAAGAATTCTGTGTACATGGCTGCCATTTTTTTTAAGAAATGTCTTGTTTTTGCTTATCAATAATTTCGGGAGACATATCTACCCATTGAGTATATAAACTCTTAAATTTTTTTGGAAGAATTTCCAATGACGGACCATATAATATCCACCGACCACCAATTATAGAACCAATTTGGGATATGTTGTTCATTCATATCAGCACAGAGCTTTATGAACCAATAGTGCTTTTTATTAGCTTGATTATTATTATTATTGAAAAATTAGGCTTAAAACAGGTAGTTAAAACTACTGAAGAGACGATCACTGTAGATAGTGATCATGCAAGCTTTAAATTGCTTTCTGATAATTATCTAGCCCCTTATAGGAAAACTCATAGATTTTTACATATTGATCCAATATAAGTTACCTTTAAGCCACTTACATTAAGAGGCTTACCTGAAAGCTTTATAGCAACTTTCAAAGATGGCAGAAATCAGAACTGAAAAAAATCCCTTATAGGGACGGTGCAAACCTGTTTGGCTTATGGCCCTGTATATTTTAATGCTTATCCGAATTTACAAATTTCTTTAAGTGAAAGAAAATTTGTTGAATGCTTTAATATTGAGTATCAAATTGCATGGTTATGATTATATGCCAGGAACTGAAGTTATATGTATCTGTTATAGAATTTATTATAAGCCTTTATATACTTTAAATCCTATGTATAAAATTATGGATTTAAAAAATGAGACTATTCTTGTAGAAACAAATTTTGGTAGATCTAAAGTCACTACCGGAGGACCTATTAAATGGGATGAAATAGACTTCCCCAAAGAATGAGTCATAAAGGAAGCAATAGCTCCTCGAAATAATATTAATAGTGACATCACATAAGTTGAACAAACTTCTCCAATCGACCGTGGAAGATTTTTCTTCTACATATATAATTTTAGAAAATATTTTCTTATAATAAATATTTATACTAATGAACATAAAATAATTCTAATAAAACGTATAACTATTTTCAGCAATCATTTCTCACATATTTGAAACACAATAGAAAGAATGTAAAAGAATAGTAGAGTATATTCGAAAAAGAAATATAAAGGAGAATTTAAAAAGCATCTCGTTATTACATTACATAATTACTAGCAATTATTACCTTCCTTGAAATTAAAAGAAAATTGCTCTCCCTCAGTTGCACCCAATTTCATGATTATTAAGTACTTATATTTTATCAGACAAACATATAAAACTGTATAATGTAACGACCCGGCCGGTCGTTTTGAGAATTTACGACCCGATCCCCTATTAACTGCGTCCCCCGTATCTTTTTCTGCTAATGTGATTTGTCGGGATAATTCATTTTGAATTTTTGAGTGTTTTCGGACACATAGCCCCTAAATGAGAGTTTAAGTCTTGGAATTTGTATCGTAGTCGGAATAGTATGAACACAGCTCCGGAATGGAATTCCGTCAACTCCGTTGGGTGATTTCAGGCTTAGGGGCGTGTCCGGATTGTGTTTTGGAGGTCCGTAGCTTATTTAGGCTTGAAATGGCGGAAGTTGAATTTTTTGGAGTTTCGGGCCGATAGTGAAATTTTGATATCGGCTCGGAATCCGATTCCAGAAGATGGAATAGGTCCGTAATGGTAAATATGACTTGTGTGGAAAATTTGGGGTCAATCGGACATGGTTTGGTTGGTTTCGGCATCGGTTGTAGAATTTTGGAATTTCAACTTCATTAAGTTTGGATTGGAGGGCGATTCATAGTTTTAGCGTTATTTGATGTGATTTTCTCGACTAAGTTCGTGTGATGTTTTAGGATTGGTTGGTATGTTTGGTTGAGGTCCCGGGGCCTCGGGTGAGTTTCGGATGCTTAACGGATTTGGTTTGGGACTTAGGCATTTTCTGAAGTTGTTGCAACCTGTTGTTGTCGCACATGCGGATTTTGGACTGCAGGTGCCTAGGTAGCCGCAGAAGCGGAAATGGATTAATGGAGCAGCAACCGCTGGTGCGGCTGGGGATCGCAGATGCGGGACTGCAGATGCGGCTCAGAGACCGCGATGCGGCCCCAGCTCGGATAAGTGACTTTCGCACATGCGATGTTTTTACGCAGGTGCGGGCCCGCAGATGGGCCCCAATGAGCACAGATGCGGAATCGCTGGGCAAAAAAGATGATTTCGAGGGTTTAAAATTTCATAACACCAAATTCAATTTTAGCTCGGGAGAAGGCGATTTTGTGAGGATTTTGAAGAGGAAGTCAGTGGGTAACGGTTCCTAAGCCTATTTTATTTATATTTCATCAATCTATAGTAATTTCCTCCATCTAATCAAAGAATTTGAGTGGAAAAAAAATGAGAATTTGGGGGAAAAGTTCCCCAATCGAATTTTTGGATTTTGATCGGGTTTTAGGCATCGGAATGGAATAATTTTTGGACAAGTGATATCGTGAGTGAATGGGTGTTCTAAATTGGTAATTTTTACCCGATTCCGAGACGTGGGCCTAGGAATGATTTTTGGGTGTTTTTCTATTTTCTTGCCTTAGCTTTGAATTCATTAGCTAAATGAGTTGCTTATAGTTATATTACGTTATGTAATTGATTTGATTAGATTTGGGCCACTCGGAGTTGGATACTCGTGGCAAAAGAGTCATTTCGGATTGATTTTTGAGCTTGGTTTGAGGTAAGTGGCTTGCCTAACCTTGTGTGGGGGAACTCCCCTTAGGATTTGGTACTATTGTTATATGAATGTCATGTACGTGAGGTGACGAGCACGTACACGTGCTAATAGTTGAAAAATCCCATTTTTATTAAGTAAATATCTATGTTTTCCTTTAAATCGAGCAATACTAGTATATGTAGCCTCCTGTTTAGCATAGGGAAGCATGCTTACGTGTCTTAACTATCTTATCTGCTTTAACTACCTACCTGAACTCTGTGTAGCATGTTTAGAGTAAGAATTACATGTCTTCTTTGATACGAACTTGATTAGAACTGTAGATTTTCCTTGTTGAAACTGTTGTGTATATTGATTGGGTTGTGTATTTACTTTGGGACTACGGAACAGTATTCCGGGAGATCCCCATGCATGTTTATGCTTGGGACTACGGGACGGTATTCTAGGAGATCCCCATATACTGGATATTTACTTTGGGACTACGGAACGGTATTCCGGGAGATCCCCCTGTACATTTACAATTTAGACTACGAGACGGTATCCCGGGAGACCTCTGTACATTTACGTTTGGGACTACGGGACGGTATCCCGGGAGATCTCATGTTGCTATCTCTGTCTACTGAGTTATTTCTTCCTATAGTTTCATTTTTCATTGACTGTTAGCATTTTAACTCTACTGCAATATTTCATACTGTTTTATCTTATTATATGTATAAACCAGTAGGGCCCTCACTTGATCTCGTCACTACTCGACCGAGGTTATATTTGGCACTTATTGGGTACTGCTGTGGTGTACTCATGCCCTTTCCTGCACATATTTTCCGTGTGCAGATCCAAGTACTTCTTCTCAGCCATACTTCTAGTGAGGCGAGGCGATCTTAGAGATTTCGGGATATACTGTAATAACTGTAATATGTATTTTACCCTATAACCCCTAATATAATGATAGAAAAAGTCTTAAAAAGTAATTATGGAAATGAGAATTAATAATAAGGTTAAAATAAGAAAAAAATTATCTTTCTTTTGATTTGTTAAAATGGACAAGTAAAAGTGAAAATGTATTATTAGTATAATTAACAACTATTCCATCTATTTCAATTTAGATGATACACTTTCCTTATTAGTATGTTTCAAAAAGAATGACACATTTCTGCAACTGAAAATAATTTAACTTTAAACTCTTCATTTTAACTATTTTACCGCTAATAAGAAGTTTTTATAATCACACAAAATCATTATCCTACAAAACTTTTAACCATTAATTTTTTAAGGCCACAAATTTCAAAAATTTCTTTCTTATTCTTAAAATTCTTGCCAAGTCACAGTAGTTCATGTAAATGAAAACGGAGGGACAGCGGGGACTCCTACATTTTTCTTTTCCTTTCCCATTTTATCTCTTCTAAAAGACCCGTAAAAAAAATAGAATAAAAGGATTGCTCCATCCTGCAACGTGTTTGGAAGTTTCTTTCTCGGCGGGACAATCCGACAATCCCTCAAATACTCCTGAGAGAGAGAGAGAGAGAGATAGAGAGATTTGGGGAACTCAGAAATGGTGCGTTTCTGCTTCTTCTTTCTGCCAGTATTTCAACAGGGAGGGTTCTACTTAGGGTTTAATGAATTTGATATTTTTCTTTCTGTCATAGGGGGAATCCAATGAAGAACTGGAACCGCTTTTTGATTACAGACGTGTTCAGCCCTTCAATACTCCCTTCAATCTTGTCTGCCTTGACGGTGAGAGAGCATTATTAATGTGTGTGTGTATCTGGTTCCTTTTTAAGATTTTTGTCATTTTTCTTTTGAACTCGCAGATGACAGTCCAGACTCGTCTCCAGTAATCTCAAAGAAACGGAAAGTGAACGATTCTGCTGTAAATTCTCTTCTTCAATGTTGTGTAAATTGTTTTTTTTTTTCAATTTCTTAACTTGATGTTAATTTATATGTTTGCTGGACTTGGAAAAGGTCGAAAGGAAAGAAGAGGAAGTTGTTCAAATAATTGATGGTGAAGAAGAGGATTGGCTGCCACCTTCCCCAAACATTTCTGCTCATACTTGTAACCTTGTTGAAGATTCAACTATAAAGGAAATTAGGTAAATTCATAATAGCAAGTTGTTGCACCTGATCAAGTGTTTTCAGCTCAACGAATTTAATTAATTTGGTGTCTGATTTGATTATGGTGATCTTTTTTTTTCTCCTTTATTTTGAATGGAATTCACAAGGCAGAGGCGAGGTGTGCTTACACGCTACTGGGTTTGTTGTTGTTGTATTTTGAATGGAATATCAGATTTTGTAACTCATGAGTTTTCACTTTTGGAAGTTGGATTCTCCAAGTATCAATTAATTGAGCTAACTAAACATTAATTACCTTTTTGTGAATCTAACATTGATGCCTGCTTTCTTTAGGTGACAACTGATTAGATAATTCTTGTTGCTCCGGTATAGCAAGTTTTTAATGAGTTAAGTTCCTCAACGAGATATTGAATTCAAATAAATAGATTATGAGTAAATAGCGAAAGCATAAAACTGACCATCGATTCCCGTATTTCATTGAATAGCATTGATATTTTTATTCATCAATTAAATTCTTATCATATGACAGCTTGCCACCAACCTATTATGTTTAGGGTTTAGTAAATGGAGGGTTTCTTTCTTTTCTTTTTCTTCTTCTACATGAGGCTGCTGTAGTCTTTGACAAGATTTCTATTACTAATTAATTAAAATGCACTTGTTCTTGATCTTCTCTTTTTCTCTTTACTATTATATGAGTGGCTGTTCGTAGGTTGAAAAAGAAAGAGCTGGAATCCATTGCCCACTCAGCTAAGGATGAGTTCCGAGATGTTGAAGAATCTGTAAAAAGAGATCTTTGTGCTTCCCTCCATTCTATTCAAGATAGTGTTGCTGAGCCGCCATCAAAACCCCCAACTAAAAGAGCTAAAATAGTTATTTCTATCCAGGACAAGGATGGAGCAAAACAATTTCGAGTTTACATGGTATTCCTTGAGGGTGCAATTCTTATCTACATATAAAGAAGTTTGCGTATCTGTGATGTAGTTATGTCATCTGCACCATAATGTTTAAAGGAGGTGTTCTATCATCTCTCCTTCATTCCTTATCTCATGATGTGTTTTTCGAGCTTCTTGAATAGAGTATGTACTTGTATATTATCCTAAATAACAGATAATATACAAACACAAAGAAATTATCCTAAAGAGTGAATGTATAGTGCTTTTTTCTACAAAAGCACTTGGTTTGATTGATTTCGAGGTATTTTTGTATAGGATAAACTAAAGCACGTTATTTTTTATTATTGCATAAGTAGCTTGCAATTATCAGCCATATTGTGTTATGTGGTTCAATGCTCACTGATGCTTATGATTTACTACTTCGTGAAGTTGAGTTTTCTCTACTTGAATTTTTTCCCCCCAACTTATATTACAAATAAACTGAGCCTGAATCAGAGGGTAAGTCTTAAAGTGTGCTGTTTGCCAAGTGTTGTTTGTGAAGTAGTGTTGTGGGATGATTTGATTTTCCTTGGAAGCTAAGATCGTAGGAAGCTTTCGTTCTATAATTGGATAGAAAGTTCTTTGTAGTATTTCTCTTTTCCTCTTTAATGTGCAATATGGAAAAACCTCTATGTCACTTTGATCTTCATTTGCGTTAAAGCATCCTTGTAAAAAAAATCATCATTGTCGAACAAATATGAGCGAATGTTAGTGAGTTTTAACAACACTGCAAAGAAGACTAAAATACCTATGGACACGTGTAAGTACATACATCTAATGGTCCTAGCTTTTGAGTTCATGTAACATATGCAGAAATAAATGAGTTGAGGTTGGCATAGGACAAGGTAATTCCTCCTATAAAGGAAATAAGTCTATATTTGAGCATGCAAGGAAAGAAATTAGTAGGATGGTTTCGTGATCTCTTATGGCGCTTCAAACACTTGAAAGCTTGATAGCTGGTTGTACACCATATTGTTAATTATGGTTACATAAAAAAGTGCATTATAGAATATCACTAATTTGTAAATTGTCTTATTTAAGAAAGTGGTTCACTTTAGGATCTACTCGATTCTGTTGGAGTATTACTTTTATGACGGAACAAGTATGTACCAAAAGCTGCAGGATTTAGTTTCCTACCATCTTTCCCTTACAATCAAAATAGTAGTTTGGTATATGAACTTAATAACTGCACCAAGACTTTTTGTTTTGTAGTAACAATGGCTTTAATTACCATCTGGAAAATTGATACATCATATCCCAATAACCTCATTTGATAATTAACCCATTAGTAAAGATGGCAGTCATCGACGCTCTTCAAACATTTATCAGTGATGCCTTGAAGTGATCAGCACTTGTTAGCATTGACTTTCCATTTATCTTCAAGATATTGCTTGTTTTCTTTTGTTTTGGGCCTTTTGGCCTTGAACTATTTCACTCTGTAGCTGTTTCTATATCATGTTAACTCGTCATGCTTCATATTTCTGTATGTTTTTGTCTTTCTTATTTTGCTCTCCGTTGTTTGTCTAGTTCATGTAGACGATATGAATAAGTTCATGTTCATAGCCAGGAATTAAATGTTATTATGACACACAATCCTATCTATACTCACGTAGGATAATAAATTTGAGAGGCTGTTCAAATTGTATGCTGATAAAGTCAAGCTTGATCTGGAAAATTTGATTTTCTGATTTGATGGGATAATATTAATCCTACTACAAAACGATTAATTAATTTACCTGTGATACCTTGAAGTGATCAGCACTTGTTAGCATTGACTTGCCATTAATCTTCAAGATATTGCTTGTTTTCTTCTGTTCTGGCCTTGAACTATTTCACTTTGTAGCTGTTTCTATATCATGTTAACTTGTCATGGTTCATATTTCTGCATGTTTTTTTGTCTTTCTTATTTGGCTCTCCATTGTTTGTGTAGTTCATGTAGATGATATGAATAAGTTCATGCTTCATAGCCAGGAATTAAATGTTATTATGACACTCAATCCTATCTATACTCATGTAGGATGATAAATTTGAGAGGCTGTTCAAATCGTATGCTGATAAAGTCAAGCTTGATCTGAAAAATTTGGTTTTCTGCTTTGATGGGGATAAAATTAATCCTACTGCAACTCCCAGTAGCCTCGGGATGGAGGATGATGACATCATTGAAGTGCATGTAAAACCAAGTTGTTGAGGTAAAATCGCTGTCTTTGAAATTCTTGCAATGTTCTTCTGCTTCTCCTCCCCCTTCCCCCATCCCAGGAACCTTTTCATTGGTATGGATATATCTCCTTTTTCTTCTTTGTATCATTTTAGAAGCTATGTAAAAAGGAATTGAGAGCTGCATTTTCCCATGAATGAGTTTGGCATTTTACCTCTTTATTTTATGACATCTGAGTTGTATTTTTGTCATTTGAACTATATTCAATTCATGTACTCCTTTAAAATGATCAGTATAAAGTATAAACGGACATCATTCAGATATACCTCTTCCTTTTTGCTCATTTCTCTCTTCCATCTTTATTGAATTTAGTACTCCTGCAGAAAATTCTGAACTTCCATTGGCAGGTGGTGAAGGATAGGTAGGATTTATCAGTTTTTTAAATCCCTTTTTCGTGATACACAATCTCTTTTTTTCTCTACTCCCTTGATGAGAATTATACGAATCAATGCAGGTTTTGACAGTGACATTTATTTCTGAGGAAGCCATGAAAATATAATTGAATTCAGCTCATAATCTTTGGTTCTGTGATAATATTCATGTTTTCTTTATTTCTGTATGACATTTAAATCATGCACATAGCTCATTATCCATTACAAATGCATAAGATATGTCATTCTGCTTGGAAACATCTCATCGTCAGATTGAACTTTACTCAGGATTAAAAGAGTTCTAGAGATGGGTGGAAAAAGAACAAGGAAGAAGGAAGGTAGGGAGACACATGCTTTTCATAAGCAAGGCTATCATTTCTCTATTTGATGAAAGACCATAACTTCTTGTGCTATCGTCATGTTTTGTCAATAAAAGGTAGAATTTACTATAATGAAGACAGATGACAGATATAGGAAAAAAGACAGATGAAAGATTTTGGAAAGAATGAGGTTGAGCATCCATCTAAAATATGTAATCCATCTGAGACAACCCTAGAGATGCTTTGTTTGGCTTAACTGGAATAATCCCGAACTAGTTCTTGGCCAAGCATTCCAGTTTCCAACTTTTATAGCCTTTTCACCGAGGTCAATTTAGAATGAGTTATCAAGGCGCAAGCTCAACGTGGCTTGAGTAATATAAGGGTGGGGGACGGGTTTTTGATTTTGTTCGTGTTGACATAAGAGGATAGAGATAGAGGAAGCAGGAGCGAGTGTTACGTAGGATGAAACTGGGGGTGAAAGGTGGAGATATATTTCAAATACAGTTCTGAATCTTTATATATCCTAGGAGACAAACTATTTACTCACAGGTAGAGAGATCAGATTTAGAATACGTGTATGAAACACCTTGAAGGCTGAAGAAGCTTGCAAGCCAAGAAATTTAAGCTCAGCTATAAAGTTACCTCGACCTCTGCTCTGTATGGGTTATATTGACTAGTGCCTGAAGATAGCTTAAATAGTTCGAGAGCTAACCGTAGTGTGCAAGGTAGCCTGAAGCCTGTTAGTCAGGAATTTTGAGGGTTAAGCTCAGCTATTAGTTTACATGTCTTCTGTGCTGAATGCATAACATTAAGTAGGGCCTGAAGGCTGCCAAGCTGAAATAGTTCTCAAGCCAGCCCTTGAGTGCAAGATAGTCTCACCATCCCATTTGTTTTTTTTATTGTTTGACTTTAAGCAGTTGATCATTTTTATATTATCAAGTGAAGGTAAGTTGACGAGATAGTGCTTTAGTATAGTGTGCTAGTAGGAGGCAAAATCTAAGGTGAGGTATGTTACTTTACTGGCTTGGGCATAAAATCCAAGGATATCATTTCTTAGAAATAAAATATCCTTATGCATTTGTTCGGCTCCTCTTTGCTTATTGAAAACTACAGAAGATATTCAGCTCCTAGGGCTTTGGTCTAGTGACGGGAATGTAGGTCGCACGCGTCACGGGTTCAAACTTCATTGCTGACAAAAGCTTGGTATTTAATGGAGAAGGGTAGAGGCGCGGACCCATTATCCATCGAGTTTTAAACTGTGCCCCACTGGCCCTTGACAATTTCTTGGCTATAAAAAATATGAAAAAAGATATTCAAAGTTCACTTAGTTCGACCCTCGGGAAGCATTGGGATATAGTAATCTTTAAAAAGAAATTATAAACAATGAAAAAAATAATAAGAACTTGTGGGCTGCTGAATAATCCCTCCATTCCACTTTATGTGGCAAAGTTTGAATAGGCACGGAATTTAACGAGATGGTTATAATCATTTACATTAACGATAAAATGAGAAGTTTATTGTTTTCAAAATTTGTAAGCTGCCATTCTTTTTGGAATGAATTAAAAAGGAAATGTTGCCACATAAAGTGGAACGGAGGGAGTAATATTTCTTTCCCTAATGAAATGAATGGAAGTAATGGTAAACTTATAGCTGTACATTAAAGTCCGGCAAAAAAGGATAACAGACATGAGGAAGATAAAAGAAGCTTGACTAAGATTATACCTTTACAATAACTCCAAGTATGAACATTGTTTCTTCTTGTCTATTTAGTAGATCTATACTGCGAAAGGTGTGCCAAGTGGTCAAAGCGTAGCCTTAAACTGCTAGGTTTAGCAGTAGGTTACCCCTTGAATTTTATAATTCCATGCTTTTTGAGGGGAATGTCAATATGCCCTTAATCTATGCTGCTTTAAAGCTCTTTCTTTTGCACTGTAAACTGCTATTCAGCTGTTTCTCTATTTGTTCATCGCTTGGGAAGGACTTTTTCTTATTATACCACCTCTTCACTCTATATTTCGTCAGCCTTCTTATATTTGCTGATCTGTTTCAGGTTTCACTTTATCCTGCAGCTGAAGGTGACTTAATTGGTGAAGTTAACATTGCAGACTGTTTGCATCCTGTTTTTCTATGCTTTTGGTGGTCAGACTAATGTCCTGCCAACTGTACAGTAGGGGCTCTTCTTTTTTTTTTTTTGGTGGGCGGGAAGGAATTTCACATAATAGTTGTTTTAAAAGAATTTTTTTCTTAACGTTGGGAGATAATGCTTTTCCTATAATTGCTTTTTGTTTTTGTTTGAGGGGAGAAACAAGGTCTCCCCTCTTCAATGCATTATCAATTATCTGAATGCTGAAAAAGCTTTGATCATGTGCAAAGACGATGATCTTTCATCATGTAGACAACAAAAGTATAATCATGGTTTAGCGTCTGAACTCTGAATCTAAATTGTTTACCCTTCACTCCACAAACAGCTATGCATGCATGTGTACTTACACATTTTTCGTCTTTTTTTCCATATTTCAGCAGCCATGTTTGTAATTATATATTGATCCACAACTGATAAATTGGGAAATATCGATATAATTGGACTATTTGCTTGTCTTTGAGTGGAGTCACTTTCTTAGGTAATTTTTGGGAAAAATACATAAAATTCCCCGCAAAGTAGTCCGTTTTCGCCCTTTAAGAATATCTCCTTATAGCCCCTAGATGAAAGATAGTGTATTATACTCTGCCTCAAGGACTTCTTCGATATTTCGTTCATCTAATTTTTTTCCACTTCTTTTTATTCCTTTCTATTTCTTTTTCTTTCTAGTCACTTAATTTTTTCTTGCTCACTCACATTCCCATCTGAAAATATTGCCGACCACCCAAAAAATTCTTACTTTAATGTATCTTCAGTTTTCCTTTCTTTTTTGATCAGGTTTTCACTCATAGAATCTTGCTTTAGTTAGAAAGTGTCTCCAATATTAGTTGGAATGGATAGTTATCGGTCAAAATCCTCTCAAATCTTCATTCATTTGTGCCATTTTCTGTCCATAGTGTTTTTGCTCTTAATTTTCTCCAATTTAGTTTAGAGAAAAAAACAAGATGATGAGAAGGCAAAAAGATCAACACCAATGCCGATTAAGTTTTCTAGATGAATCTTTGTCGGCACGTACGAGTACAGCGGTGGCAGAGTCGATGCAGTAGATTACTCCGGCGGATTTGGTCTCTCTGCTTTTGTGTACTTTCTTAGGTTACTTCTGTTTTGAGTTTTTGAATTACTTGGGAATTGAGGTATATGAAATGATGAAGAAGAAGCAGCAGCAGTTCGGTGAAAATCCAATGAAGATTAGATTCTCATCTTTTGTTTTTGCATCAGCTTCTCGCCTTTTCTTTCCAACGAAGAAGCAGCAATTGTCTCGTGTTGGCCCAAGATCAGTTGAAGTTTTGAAGAATGACAAACGAACTCAGTGAAGGACCAGGTTCATCTAAGGAGACACAGTTGTTATGGCCCATACACATGAGATGCACATGAAGAAGATAAGTCTTTGAGATCAAGCAGCAATATCTTGATGAATATCTTCTGAACTGATCGAAAAGATTGCATATAGGATAAGGAGTTGAAGTCTCCTTATGAAAAGAGAATTACATCCGGATCAAGAATATGGATTAGGAGTTAGAGTTGTTCTTGGACTTGAATTGTCAAAGGATCCACAATTCGAGTTCTTATCAAACTCTGATTACTAACTCTATAAATATAACGATTGTTCTCTTTTATAGGTGATTGCACATAAGCAGAAGTTAAGCATATTTGAGAGCAAAAATATCAAGTCTGATTTGCAAGCAACATATGCGAGATACAAGTGTGCACGTCTGAAGCTACAGAAACTAAGATAGAAGAACCAGTTTCATCATTGTGTTTATTCTAAGTCTAGTTCAATTGTAGTAGGTTTTCATATTGTACGTTTCAGCTTTCTTAGAAGCAATTGTATTAGGTACTCTGAGTATTCAAGTTAGAGTTAACTTGAAAGTGTCGCAACAGTTGAGGCTGTGTGCTACACTGGGATTAGAGTTAATCCTTAGGTTTACAAAGAGTTTTGTAAATGCAGTTTTTGGCTCAGTGATTTTAGTGGAGTTTGGAAAAATCCTACTGAGTAGTAGGTTGTGGTTTTTTCACCTTTTGAGCCAGGTGTTTTCCACGTAAAAATTTCTGTGCACTTTACTTTCAGTATTTATTATTCCGCAAACTGCTGTAGTTAGAACACTTAGAAGAACCAGGTTCTTCTAACGCGAAAATTAGGTACCACACAAATCACCCCCCCTCTTGTGTGGTATTGACGTTATAACATCAATTGGTATCAGAGCAGGTTATCCTTGAAGAGGTTAACACCTTAGGAAAAGATCAACATGAGTGCACCACCTGGGAACTGGGAAGGGCAATCCACTGCCAGGCCTCCTCTCTTCAATGGCCTCTACTACTCCTGGTGGAAAAACAGAATGAGGGACCATATAATGGGCGAAGACTATGAGCTTTGGGATATCATCACTGATGGTCCTTTAGCCACAACCAAGAAGAATGCTAAAGGAGTGGATGTTACAAAGACAAGAGTAGATTGTACTGCTGAAGATCTAAGGAAATGGGAGAAAAATGCAAAAGCCAAGAAATGGTTAGTGTGTGGACTTGGTCCTGATGAGTACAGCAGGATTCAAGGCTGTACTACTGCCAAGGAGATTTGGGACACTTTACAAGTGGCTCATGAAGGAACACCTCAGTTGAAGAGGTCAAGAGGAACACTGCTGTATTCTCAATATGAGAATTTTACTATGAAGGATGGAGAAACTATCCAAGAAATGTATACCAGGTTCACTACACTGACAAATGAACTTGAGTCTCTTGGAAGGATTATCCTGGAAGAAGACAAGGTGGAGAAGATTCTAACTAGAGTTCTGCCAATCTCCTGGAAAAGCAAAATCACTGCCATTCAGGAATCCAAGAACATTGCTACTTTAAAGTTGGATGAACTGATTGGAANATTCTAACTAGAGTTTTGCCAATCTCCTGGGAAAGCAAAATCACTGCCATTCAGGAATCCAAGAACATTGCTACTTTGAAGTTGGATGAACTGATTGGAAATCTCACTGCCTATGAATTGAGAAGGCAAACAATGAAGATGGATGCTCCAAAGAAAGAAAGAAGTCTGGCTCTCAAAATTTCAGAAGGATCAGATCTTGAAGATGATGAAATGGCTATGATAACCAGAGATTTCAAGAAATATCTTATGAGAGGAAAGGGTGCTTCAAAAGGAACAACATTCAGCAAACCTAGGGCTCCTGAGAAACAAACCAATGAGGGGTGTTACAAGTGTGGGAAGACTGATCACCACATCAGAAACTGCCCTCAATGGGAGATTGAATGGAAGAAAGAAAGAGCTGAAAGAAGAAACAGGAAGAAGGAACAGGTTCAACCAAGAAGAAACAAAGGTTCAACTAAGGCTATGGTTGCTTCTTGGGGAGAAACATCAGATGAGGACTCTGAAGATGAAGCTGAGGAGGATCAAGCTCTAATGGCCATCGGAGAATCAGAAGATGAACAAGAGGTAAGTATTCTACACCTTAAAGAAAAGATTAAGTTCTTGTCTAAAGAAAAACTGGCTGACATGCTAATGGACTTCATAGATGAGTCTGAAATAATAAACAGTGAGAAGGATGTTCTGTCTAAGGAATGTGTTATCCTAGAAGAAAAATGTAAAAGTTAGAGTCTAGGGCTGATGAGAGTGACAACACAAATACTGAGTTGAAGAACCAGGTTCATCAACTTGAAAACAAGATTCTAGAACTTAGATCTGAAAATATTAAATAGAAATTAGGGACATAAAAGAAAAGGGCTGATCAATCATTTCTCACCCTAGAAGAAAATCTAGGAAAAATGAAAGATGAACTGTACAAGAAAGATGAATTGATTAAAGTCCTAAAAGAAGATTTAGGAAAGGTAAATCATGAACTAGACAGAACATGCAAATGGAACAAGGCTTCCGATGCACTCTTCTGGCTGCAAGAACATCATAGTAGCAACAAGAGAGGACTTGGATTTCGGACACAAGCTCCAAAATGGGATCCCAAAAACAAGTATCTCACATTTCCTGAGAATAAGATCTGCACACACTGTGGTAATACTGGCCATTATAAAAATAAATGTAATGCAAGAGAAAAGGCCAGTCAAAAGAACAAAGCCTTTGTTCAAGAAAAGCACAAACTGCCCGGTTGGGCAAAGAAAAATTTAATTCATCCTTTTGCCCATAGAAAGGGACCCAAACTAGTTTGGGTTCCTAAGACTAACCCATGATTTCGTTTTGCAGGACCAAGTGAAGGGAAGTAGCCAAATATGGTACATGGATAGTGGCTGCTCAAAACATATGACTGGTAACAAGAACCAGTTCCTTTCACTTGAGAACCTAAAAGGAGGTAATGTCTCCTTTGGAAATGGAAAGAAAGGTGAGATCATTGGTGTTGGAAAGGTAGGAAAGACAGACTCTCATTCCATTGAGAATGTCTATTTGATAGATGGCTTAAAATATAGCCTGATAAGTGTGTCACAACTGTGTGACAGAGGTAACCTTGTGGCTTTCACTTCCACAAAATGTTTTGTGATTAGCCTTACTACTGACAAGATTGTTTTGCAGGGAAGGAGAGTTAACAATATTTACATTGTAGATCTATCAACTCTCTCTGAAAATGAACTAACTTGCTTGAGTGTGTTAATTAATGATCCCCTCCTTTGGCACAAAAGACTTGGCCATGCCAGTCTAAATCAATTGAACAAGTTAGTCTCCAAGGACTTGGTGATAGGGTTACCTAATATCAAGTTCAAGGAAGACAAAGTTTGTGAGGCATGTGCAAGGGGGAAGCAGGTAAGGTCATCCTTCAAACCTAAGAAAATGGTAAGTACGTCCAAGACGTTGGAACTGGTTTATATGGATCTTTGTGGTCCAATGAGAACCATGAGCAGAGGTGGTAAAAGATATGTAATGGTGCTTGTTGATGATTATTCTAGATTCACCTGGGTATTGTTTCTAACTTCTAAAGATGAAGCATTTGAAATGTTCACTGCTTTTATTAGAAAAACCCAGAAACAATTAGGAAATCAACTTGTATCTATTAGGTCTGATCATGGAACTGAATTTGAAAATGCACAATTTGCTAAATTTTGTGATGAAAATGGAATAGATCATAATTTTTCTGCCCCTAGGACTCCTCAGCAAAATGGGGTAGTTGAAAGGAAGAACAGGACCCTTGAGGATATGGCAAGGACCATGCTACTTTCCAGTAAACTACCTCATAGCTTCTGGGCAGAGGCTATAAACACTGCTTGTTATATAATAATAGATGCATGACTAGACCTCATGTA